GAATTTTTTTGGTGCTGGGAGCTCTGGGGGTGTTTTTTGGGGTGCTGGGGATGCCCAGAACAGCTGAGCTCTCATTTGCAATGAGCTCTGCCATTAAATTCAGCCCTGATTTCACCCAGGAGCCATCTGAGGACACTGAACATGCCCTGGTGATTCCTGCTCTGCTTTTTGCTTCTGAGCAGCCTCATTGCTGCTGTGGGCAAGAAGCAGCCCTGCAGCCCTCAGGGGGAGCTCACTGGGGTGAAATGGGTGAAATGGGGTGTAGAAATGGGGTGTAGAAATGGGGTGCTTTGGTGACACCCTGAGGAAAACTCTTCCTTCAGCAGGGAATTGGCACCAGAATTGGGAATTGCTGCTTTTCAACTTCCCAAAATCATCCTGTGGGATAGCAAACTGCCTGAATATCAGGCTGCATGGCAATCCTGGCTTCATCCTTAATCTGCAAATCTTTTTTGATGAAACCTCACAGTCTTGGTTTGGCCAAGTTACCTCAGAAATGACAGCAGAGAACACGGCCCCTTGTAGGCAATGATTCAGCCAGGCAGCAAGAACATCAATATTCCAATAGCTGTGCTTAAAAGCCCATTTCAAATTATTAGGCACTGTTTAACTGGTGGCATCAATTAAGGCATTAAAGTATTGGCACAGGGAAGAAGCATCATTACAAAGCAATAAAACAAAAAAGAATTTCCAGCTCCAAAATGCAGCAGGACCTGGAGGAGCACATGGAGCAGAGCTGGGTCTGCACACTTCAAACAACTCCAAACACATTTTAGTGTGCTGCTTGAGGTTATTTCTAAGTTTTAAAGGTATTTGTAAGGAATCCAGGTTTTTTTCCATGTAATGAAACATCTTTGATCCCAACCACGGCATCCACATCCACATCCACACCATCAGCAGCTCCCGACGTTCAAACTCAGCTCATCAATTTTGCTTTTTCTGCCTTTGTCAGTCTATCTTTATTTCTTTTTTTTCCCCCTAATTCCAGGTTTATGCTTGTTTTAGCAAGCAACCAGCCGGAGCAGTTTGACTGGGCCATCAATGACAGGATAGATGAGATGGTGAACTTCGAGCTGCCCCGGCTGGAGGAGCGCGAGCGCCTCGTCAGGATGTACTTCGACCAGCACGTGCTGAAGCCAGCCACAGAGGGCAAGCAGTGAGTGCCCCTCACACCTCTCCCTCTTCAGAGAATCCCCTGTCTTTCCTTGGTTTTCCTCATCCCCTTTCTTGTGTGTTTTGTCTATAAATCCTCTTTCAACAAGCAAAAGATTTGGGAGGTGCCTCTCTCGCTGTGACACC